AGATGGTGATTAAGGCGTGCAATTAAAATGATATGTATTGAGTAAGATTAGAGACCAGGGCCGGTGATAATGGGGAGCCTGTTTGGGCGTGTTCGTTTATGTAATTCCTCCCAAACTAATGCTGTCTAATTTTATATTTTGTCTCATAATATGTCTCACTATTTATAGTTAAGAAAAGCTGGAGCCAGTACTGTTGGAGTATGCATTGAAAAACTGATAGATGATCAAGAAAGCTGATTAAGAAACAGACAGATGAAGCTATGAGAAGCAGAATATAACGCTTAGGGGTTAACTAAGTAAAAAGTATTGTTTATTTGTTTGTAATTAAGCAAAAGCTACACAATGGGCATTCTGTGCTCTGTATCTAAACCCGGTTTCTAGCGTTATAAAACCGCAGACATAGGGGACAACTAGATAAAAGATGGTAGCTAACTAACATAATACGTTGTGGTCGTTTCTTCACTAAAATCCTTAGCACTTACAAGAGTGTTACCATTTTACGTTCTATCACATTGCGGAGGATGATTAGAACGAATGTAAAATTCTACGTTTGATATTTTTCATTTAACCATATGGTAGCTAACTAACATAATACGTTGTGGTCGTTTCTTCACTAAAATCCTTAGCACTTACAAGAGTGTTACCATTTTACGTTCTATCACATTGCGGAGGATGATTAGAACGAATGTAAAATTCTACGTTTGATATTTTTCATTTAACCATATGAAATGATTATTAAAATACTTTTAATGTCATTTTGATTTATTAAGTATCTTACTACATCGCCTGTAATTACTAAAACGTGTTATGAGCGAAGTGAAGCAGCCACAAAACAAAATTTTATTTCGTAGTACTTTGTCTTTTCTTCAGTATAAGCAGTTAAAGCGCGTTGTGGTCATTTGCATGGAGACTTCACGTTATGTGATCTTAATATATTTACAGCCGTCAGGGATTACGCTGAGTTGGAGTTACACAAAATGTTACACTAATATTATTGAATTATAATCAATTTGTACTATTAACTCTTCAATGAGTAGCATAGACCATACATAAAATTAATTTGCACCAAATGTCAGGATTTTATGTATATGTAGGTTGGACGGGGATTCTTCTATAGTAGGTGTCTGTGACTTGTTGGCGATCAATTCGAACAATAAACGGACAGCACACAATTAAATAATTATATTTATAGATATAGATAAATAGATAGATATCAGTATAGGTTGACATAATTATGGTCAGTCATTAGAACTCAGATTAGTGGTATAGCGTTGACTTCTTTTGATCATTAAAATAGTGAATGTAAACGGTTTCTACATTTAAGTTCAAAGGAATTAATAGCTTCAACTAATTTGAATAGAAATTATAGTATTGTTATTTTGAAATATAAAAAAGGAAACAGTCTTGTAATTTTAGATAAAAAAAATATTTCAAAAAAGCCAAAGACATTTTAAATGATTCAACTAAGTTTTTAAGGCCACAACATGATATTACTGATGTTAGAAATGCCAAATTATAAAGGTATTTATTAAAACTGAAGAAAACAATATTATTAATTGGAAACATTATTTGAATATTATACCATCGGATATTAATTCAGCTGGTTTTTATTGTCTTCTTAAAATACACAAAGAAGAATCTCCATAGTGACCTGTGGTGTCTAACATTGGAATTTATAACCCGTTTTAATAGCTGTTTCCCTGGTTGGAATTTTAAGGACATTTACCTCTAATGACGTTGAAAAATATTTGTGAATTTTCTAATGAAATATAACAATTGAAGCTTGATAGGAATGTTCATTTTGCCAGTTTAGATTTCGAATGGCTGTATACAAATATTCCATTAGAAGAAACTATACAATTAAGTGTTGATTTGATTTATAACAATAATTTAGACAATGTGACCATTCCCTAATCAGTTGTTGTTTTTTGTCAAATTAATGAACTTTTCCATCAAGGAGTCTCATTTTCTGCTAAATGGCAATCTCTATGATCAAACTGATTGTCTCACCATGGGTTCGATGTTAATATCCTTTTTAACTAATCTATTTTTAGGTCATTCTGAAAAGTAATGGTTGGAAAAGCTAAAACTGTCTGCAATCACAATCGTTTAAACTGTTCACTACTGCAGATAAGAGGGCAACACGTTAACTATCTTCAGGAATTAATATAAAGCTTCACAAATTCTTGAGTATTTGAACAATAGAAAGATGAGTGTAACATATACTATGGAATATCCTCAAGATCCCAAAATATCATTTTTAGACTCTTGTGTTAATAGAAATAATGGTAAACTTCAAGTAGAAGGTATATCTTAAAAAAATCTGTTACTGGGTTGTATTTTACTTATACTAGTGCTATAACAAACACATTTAAAGGGAACTTGGTCAAAATATTTTTTCATCGTTCATATAATATCTCTAGTACTTGATAAGCTGTACATAAAGGGTTCAGTGGTTGTATGTTTTAAAACCAAGTTGTCGTCTACAGTATTTTCTAGAAATAATAACGGTGTTCAAGCATTAATGTAAGCTAAATATAGTTTCTAAATTTATATGTTCCTGCTGTCAAAAAATTATATTGGATCCACTGAAAGAAAATTGCCAATTCGTATAAGAGACAATTCAAATTTTAGAACCACTGCTTAGTCTAGTTTACTTGAACCCATCCATGGTGAAAATGACGTTGTCTTCCATTCAAATTACTTTAAGATCTCAGCTAGTGTCAATGAAAAACAGGTCCTCTGTGTTAAAGAAAGGTTATTCATTCACAGACTGAGGTAAGAAATCAATCAAGTAGAATAGTCAAGTACGTTACTGTTAATTATATAGAAGATTTCGTCCTTTCAAAATGATATATATATATATATATGGGTATATTCCTATTTATATTATATTATACAAAATGCAAGTAAAAGTAGGAACATCAAAGTAAGTTTATTCAATTATCAGTTATAGAAAAATTACACAATACATATCTAAAATTAAAATTCAACAAATTCATATAATTATAAACCACGACTTTTTTTCTCTCCGCGCATTCTCTTATAAAACGATTATTTATCCAATTGAAATCTCAAAGGTTTCATATCTCCTTAAATAAATGATTCAATATATATATTTACTCATTTCTTTAGTTAGATTAGTTAGATTTATCACTATTAAAACGATGGCCAATATAAAATGCTATAAATATTTTTAAAACTTAGCGTGTTGAATTGGTACAAAGTTCATAGATAATGAAATGTTAGAACATTTTATTTCAGTATAGATGAGCTTTAGTAAACAGATGTTGTTCAATATAAGTATCAAAGGTCCTTTGAACACAACAACATTACTGATAAAAT